CATCATGCAACACAGGGATGCCCACCGAAATTCAGCTGTAGTCCATTTGTAACACTACAAACACATAAAAAAGGAGTGAAAACAGCAGCAACAAAAACAGTTCTCTAGGCAGATAATATGGCCGACATCTTAACATTAAAAATTCAACATGAGGAAAACATTGTCTATCCACTTTGACTGTGTTTGAGCACCAAGCATCATGATGTAAGCACAGAGTCCACCTCCTCTCGTCCCACTGGACTTCTGTGCTCTGTCCTGCTGTCTGCCGGTCAAGTGCAGCTTGATCCGCGATGAACGATGGATAATTATGTTATTGTGCATTAAAAAGTCTGATGAAACAAAAACACACTTTTAGCCATGAATTAGATCAGGGACATTTGTAGACTCTTTAGTCTTCAATATACTTCAATAAAGAAAATCTTCAAAACAACATCTTTTTTTTACCTCTGAGATGCCAGCCAATAATATGTCTGCAGTAGAGAGGGAGTCCCCTTTAACATCCAACTATAAATTTCACTGTGCAACACTAATACATTTGGACATACTGTTGAAACATACACAGAGCATATTCCTGGCTAATAATGAATGTTTGTTTTTTTACAGCATAGCATCCGGTCTTCTGATTACTGTTTATAACTTTGACAGTTTGGGTTTTGGAGCATTACTGCAAAATGACTAATACATCTAAAATCGTTCTTTTTTCACTGTCTGGCTTCAGCACCACTGCCAACTACAAAATCACACTTTTCTCTCTCACTTTACTTTGTTATTGTCTAATTGTGGTGGTAAACGTGTCTCTCATTTTAACTATAATATTGAATCAAAACTTACACGAACCCATGTATGTTTTTATATGTAATCTCTGCGTCAATATACTTTATGGGACTGCAGGCTTTTATCCTAAATTTGTCTTTGATATTCTGTCTGATATTCAAATCATATCATATGAAGGATGCCTTTTGCAAGTCTTTGTTATATACACTTATGCAACAATTGATTTGTCTGTTTTAGCTCTTATGGCTTATGACAGATATGTGGCTATATGTCGACCCCTGGACTATCACTCTGTAATGTCTGTGAGAAGGATTGCAGTTTTAATTGTTTTGTCCTGGCTTGTACCCTTGTGCTGTGAAGTTATGGTTGTAACTTTGACGTCTACATTGAAATTATGTGGCTCCAAAATAGATAAACTCTACTGTGAGAACTGGTCAATTGTCAAACTTGCTTGTAGTACAACGCCAGCAAACAACATTGTCGGATTGATTATTATTGTTTTCTATTGTGTGCATTTCCTCTTCATTTTGTGGTCTTATGTGCGGTTGATAAGATCAGCTTTAAAATCCAGAGAGGGCAAGAGAAAGTTTACACAGACATGTGTGCCACATTTGTTATGTTTGCTTAATGTCACTTCTGCTTTACTTTTTGATGTTATGTACTCTCGGTATGGATCAGCATCTGTGCCACAGAGTGTGAGGAACTTCATGGCCATACAAATTGTCATGATGCCCCCTATTCTCAACCCTTTAATATATGGACTCATCCTGTCTAAAATTCGACACAGAATGGTTGCCTTGTGTATGATGGCAGGTGAAAGATTTAAGTTGAGACTGAAGGCTTGATTTTTAGAATTACCGTCCTGTCTGAAACACCATACTGGTTGGTGGTCTGTGTACAGAGGCAGTTTCTATCATCCATCCTGCACATTTTAGTATCAAACAAGCAGGTTTCAGACCAAGTGCATGAAGCGATACATGAAGGTATGTGAGCACCTGAATCAAGTATAATAATTCATTTCAAACAGGAATCTCACAAAGTTTCTTTCCCAGGACCAGAGCTCAAAGGAAAAACTGTCTGTAAGAATAATAAGTTCTGTATTAATCTTTGGTCCCTGACCAGTTTTCAAACTGTCATGGGAGATGTTCAAGAGTCCAACTGATGTCAGTTTGATATATTTGCAACAAGTGAACTAAATTATATAACATTGAGATGTGTCTGGCACCTGATAATGATTTAATTTGAGTCTATAGACAACTTTAGACTTTTCTTTTTACAATATTGTACTTGTTCACTCTCTGGTTTTCTTAATTTTATGCACAGTCGGTCTTTTTTGTCCTTCTACAAATACAAGGAGCATTGAGCTTTTATTATTTTGATAACATTTATTATAGACAGGGCTTCTGCACATTCAAGTGGATATTATTTATTTTCATTATGGTGTTCAGCATAGCTTAAAGGTTTGCTTCACAAACTGTCATGACAATTAAACTTGTTTCTTTTTTTTGCAAAATACACGGGTCATTCAAAATAACTAAAACAATCCACAGTATGATCAAATGCAACTGTCCCCTACTGTAGTACATATTACACACACGGATGGAATGGTATAGGCATTTACTTTTATTGTACCCATGTCTTACAGGGGAGGAGGGAGATTGGGGAGAAAAATTAAATGTTTTTGTTACATTCGATCACAAAGTTAAATAATGGCTGTTACTTGGTGAACTTTAAGTTTAAAAGGTCATAAGGCGGCATTGAAGTATACTGTAAAAGTTTTGTATGTGTTCGTACCTTATGCCTCAGAGGGATGAATTGTCAGAATATTACCATCATGATGACACAATGCAAGTGATGTAATTTCTTATCTCCAGAGTGACTTGCCTATCGTTTCCGTAGCTGATGAAAGGCTGCTGTGATGGGTACCATCACTGTGACCTCCCTGGTGAGCCTTAGTGGAAAACAACAAGCCTCAGGGAACAGGGATGCTACAGCCTGCTAATTAAGATCCAGTGGTCAATGCTGTAAGCTGGTCTCATGGGATGGTCCTGCTAAAGAAATACTTTGATGCTTTGTATGATTAAAGAAAGGACAATTTAAATGATTCAGAATGTAATGTTTGACAGTGTTTTATTCTCATTTAACAGTGACTCTAACTGTTAACGACCAAAAGATGTAAAAGAGTTTCACTTCAATCATGAGTACCACAGAGGGGATACAGTAACTGTTATTATTAAAGAGTGCCATAGAGTACATGCAGTAATTACGGAAGACGTGGTCATCAGGTCATTAACTTCACCCTCCTCTGAGGGCAATTAATAAAACAACAACACTCTGGAGAGCCAGTGTGAAAACTAATTTACACAAAGAAGTTATCTAATGAAAGCAGAACTAAATAAGTTAAAGAAAGTTAATGTTCTATTTTAATTTAATACAGTTCAGTATATTCAGTTGTTGAATTTACATTCTTATTGTCAGTCTTTATGAGTCTCACTGAGTGCAAAAGCTATTAAAAACTATTTGCATCATAATTGCATGTATAAAACAATCAGGAAAATGCCACCATTAACTACAGCTATTAAATGTCCACAGATATTTAACAACTCTCATGAACAATATCAAGTTAACCTCACAAGTTTCTTAATTTCAGATATGTTGGAATGCATTATGTTGTAACAGCAATCATGTGTTAGTTTAATAAGATATGGTTTGCCAATCAACCATAAATTACTTGGCTAAATAGGTCGAGACAAATCTTCATTCCTTGACATGATTGCACTTAGTTTGTGGTGCTCTGATACATTCTTCATCATACATGAAAGACTGAAAGCACCGGAGGCCGTTTTGTGACTCCATCTTCAGTGTACCTATATGCTGGCGCAAACGGTCATGGGTAACACAACCGACACACACTCACCCTTTACCAGTCCTGTGTTGTTCCAGCAAGACCAGACCATGAAAAGGAGTGCGGTATGTCCAACAGATGGAACCTTGGATGACACCAACAGGGTGTCAACATCAACCGAGAGAGGGTCTGTTAATGGTGAAGTTGAGAAAGGGCCGTATACTGTTAATCAAATTGACCTGGTCTCACACTAACAGACATCAGAACAAGTATACCAGCTTACACAATACTTAGTAGTCTAATTCATTCTAAACAAATCATAGACATCTACAGTAGGAAAGACGACATTTCTTCAAGTAAATTTGAGTGTTCTTGCTTTTATAATTATAAGAAAGAGATTAGTTTAAACTCACTAAAATCAATAATTCATATTTTTGGTTAATATAAATTCAAAAGAGAGTGTGATTAGTCAAGTGGAAGCTGCTGTGAGGACTTTCAATGAATAGGGGGCAGACTTTGCATCTCACCATGTACAATAGGTCTTAATCCTGAGCAAATTCATCTGGCGCTGAGCCAAACAAGGCAAAAGTTGATATGGACAATGTTACTGGAGTTAAGTTAAAGAGCAACATGTCAAGTATCAGCAACCCAAAACAAAAGGGTTTACCCCAGTATGTCTACTCGGCAGTTCTAAGCACACATGCATTAACTGAAATAATATTATGCCTGTAATTGTATAGTACTTGTTGTTAGTTTATAATATGATTTACTTGATTAGTATTGTTAGAAGTAAATAAACTCTGTTGTACTTTAAAGATAAGTTTTCCGTGATTCTTTGTGTATTGTGATAATAGCTGGATATCGTGGCCTGTGCTCAAATTCAACCTTCACTGTTCACTCTGAATGTGGAATAGTACTTTGACTATTGACATTGTGAGTGAACACTAATTATAAGACTTAATTTATATTTTGGTTATTGGTCCCTGATCTCAGCATGTTGCCTTACTATTATTCATATTTGTTAATAATCTTATTGACATTAATAATTGTATTAATGTCAATAATTTAGTTTCCATACTTGTTGATAACCAAACAAGCTCCTGCCAGATCCCGACAGTTCTCCAGAGTACAAAAACTGTGATGGCATGTGCAGCCAGACAACATCAAAGACTCCCATTAGCTACACCTCTGGTGTGTCTATAGCTTTAAACACGAGCAAAATGTGCAACACAGAGGAGTTGTGACCACTAGTTCAGTAAGTATAGTGAAACTGCTGTATGCATGACCAATATTATATGATATTATGTTACAATGCCTATACTAAAGCTTTTCATCACATAACTGCTTGTATTTTCCTTGTTGTTGATTTATTGTAAGTAGAATGGAAAACAGTACTGTTTCCTTTTACTTTAACCTCACCATGTTTGTGAACATTGGATACTACCGCTACCCTGTCTTTGTTTTTTTCCTCCTGATCTACAGCTTTATTTTATTTGCTAATCTTGTCATAATACTGGTGATATTCCGAGAGAGAACACTACACATGCCCATGTATATGTTTATTGCATGTTTATCTGTCAACTCTCTGTATGGTTCTACTGGTTTCTTTCCCAGATTTCTCATGGACCTTTTGTCTGATACTCACATGATCTCACGTACTGCTTGTTTCACTCAGATTTATGTAATATACACATATGCGTCCCATGAATTCCCCATTCTTGGCATTATGGCATATGATAGATATGTTGCTGTATGCCATCCTTTACACTATCACAGAAAGATGACATCCCAAACCGTTTGGAAATTGGCAGTATTTGCTTGGATTTGTCCAGCCTTTTTTATTTCAGTATGCATTTATCTGTCTTCCCGGCTTCCTTTATGTGGTAATGAGATAAAAAAAGTTTTTTGTGCCATCTGGAATATAACAAAATTATCATGTGTTACCATTGTTGTCAACAACATTGTAGGTATGCTTGTGACTGCTACAGCTTCACTTCCCCTTCTGTATGTCTTATACACCTATTTGCGAATTGTACTTGTTTGCTGGAAAAGCTCGGCAGAATTCAAAGGGAAAGTATTTCAGAGCTGTCTGCCACATGTTGTTTCATTTGTGATTTATTCTATTGTATCATTTAGTGATATTGCCTTGAGCCGATACAATATAGAAGAGATAAATCCATATCTGTCTGTTATTCTGTCACTGGAGTTTGCTGTTATTCCTCCAATTCTGAATCCTCTTGTGTATGGCCTTAAATTACCAGAAATTAGAAAGCACATTTTAAAGATGTTATTGAGGGATTGAATAAGGATCAGTTAGAACCATGTCACAGTTTAAGTATGCCTGTGGTTTCATAAACACAGACTATGGGAACACGTCAGTCTACAGAAGCTATGGATTATTGCTAAAAAGAAAAAAGCATCTGACATTTTGATTATCTCTCACAATAAAGGTAAAAGAAATAGGGATCAGATTATAGATGTCATATGTTTCCCAAATAATCTGACAGTTAGAATATTATGGCCACGTGTTTATTGTTCACAAGATATTTAATGAAATTATTTCTCAAAATACAGACTGCAGCATGTGTTGTGTAAACATAAATGATTAAATGTTACTGCACTGTGGACTGGATTAAATGGTAAACTGAACATGCTATTTCACATTTTTGTCACATAAAATGTTACACATTGTGTGAATCTCCATACCTGTTACTTTCCAAAACTAAAATCAACCTTACTTTTACATGACACGTATCTGTATTTTATCTTTTAGGACCTCAGGTGGAGTAAGAATGAGGAAAGTGTTGGACTTATTTTGCTTTGCTTCATTTTGAAAACAATACAAGACATGGCCTTATCATATAGCATTATTTTGTATATTTGTATGATAAGATATTCATTTTATTTGTTTATAAACTGTATATAGATTTATCAATGTATTCTATTAGAAATAAAATGCAATTCAGTTGTCTTAAACTTGCTATCACATGCACTGTGACTATATGTAGTGAATTGATTTTCAGTTGATATCATCTCAAATACTACTCCAAAACACACAGACCATGACACCTGGAGAGTAGGAGGTTTCTAGTTCAGATTCTGCAAATTGGCGTAAATGTAGAGACATTTTCACTTGGGAAGCAGCAGAGACAAATATGGTCACTGAAATGCATTTACTAAAATTACATTTTAAAAAGGTGACGTATACGAAATGCCATACAAATCAAATGTACCCACTCTCACACCAACAAAGATCAGAACAATTATACCAGCTTCTACAATATTTATCAGAATAGCGCAGGAGCAGAGCTTCCCCCTCGATCCCTGCTGGAAGCCAAACCCAACACCACGCTGCTGGAGGCCCAGGCTGTATTGCTGGGACCGCTGTAGGGAGAGTCACGAGAGAACCAGAACCAGGACAGAGTGAGGTAGAATGACAGACCCCGTTGCAGTAAAATTCAAGGTTTTCTAAAGGCCCTCTGGGGCTCGGAAACACTACCACGTTTTGTCTGCAGGGACCGCCAAAACAACACAAAATGATAGTTCCTTGTAGTAGCTTTAAATTCTACTACAAAAATTGCTGGGCCCGCTGTAGGGAGAGTCATGAGAAAACGAAAGTTACGAATGTAACTACGGTTCTATGAATGACCGCCAGAGGCAGTGCTTAACACTGGATATCTTCTGTCTTGCACACGTGCAGGTCGAGTCTTTATATCAACAAAGTCACCTGTGACCTCGGATGACCCCTGTCATCTATAACTTCCAGTGTCATCCTGAGATCAGTCCTACGGAATCTTCTCGCTAGTTCATGGGATTCTGAGTGAGTCATCCAGGATTCATAGAACCGTAGTTACATTCGTAACTTTCGTTCTATTTCATCCTTACTGACCACCAGAGGCAGTGCTTAACAGTCGATGACTTATATCAACAGAGTTATGAGGAATCACAGTAACTACCCCGTATAGCTCTGGCAGAGGAAATTGGCCAAAGAACCCTCCCCAGTGGGTGAGGGGTGGCAACGTTAACTCTGCTCGGTGATGCCCATGTGGCCGCAGCACACATATCCTCCACAGGCACACATATCCTCCACAGGCACACCTCTCAGGGCTGCCCATGATGTGGACACACTCCTGGTAGAGTTGCCCTTCACCCCGGATGGCAGAGCGTGGTCGCTCGCCTTGTATGCATAGGCAATGGCCTCCACTATCCAGTGGGACAGGCACTGTTTTGAAAGAGCACAGCCCTTCTTAGGCCCACCATAACTAACAAAGAGCTGCTCCGACCGCCATATGCAGGCGGTGGCTTCCACATAAGCTCTGAGGGCCCACACTGGGCACATTTAGCCTTGACCTCTCCTCTCCTGATGGGGACTGCGCAAGCTGGATAGACTGGTTGATATGTGAGCGTGTCAACACCTTTGGGAGAAATGCTGCATTAGGCCACAAAGTGACACCCGAGCCATCTGAGTTCCACCTCAGACATGATTCATTCACCGACAGGGCATGCAGCTCGCCCACACATTTAGCTGAAGTGATGGCAAGGAGAAAAAATGTTTTGGCCGACAGCCATCTGCCTGTGCCATGGGTTCAAAAGGAGGCAAGTATAGGGTGTCCAGTACCAAGGGCAGGTCCCATGCAAGGGCCTTCGGGGCGCTCGGGGAAGCAATTGCAGAGCCCCTTTTAGGAAGAGGGACACCAGTCTGTAGCTCCCTACTGTGACCTTAGTATGCTGCCCCGAAATCACGGCCACGTATACTCCCAGGATAGAGGGAGACCGGCCCTTATTTAGGAGGGACTGTAGAAACTCAAGTACAGCAGGCACGGGGCACTGTACTGGGTCCTTGTTCTGAACCGGACACCAGTCAGAAAACAGCTTCCACCTGTTTTCGTACTGCAGATAGGTAGATGGTGCCCTGGCATTCAGGATAGTCCTTCTGACTGGTTCTATGCAGCCACTCAGCATCCGGTTGGGCCCTCCCGCAGCCAGACCCACAGTTGAAGGCGGCAGGGATTGGGATGCCAAATCCGACCTTCTAGTTGCGACAGGAGGTCCCTCCTGTTGGGGAAGAACTCTGAGCAGTGTTGGCAAAATCAGAGGGAACGGTGGAAAGGCATAAAGTAGATCCTCTGGCCACGTGTGAGCCAGGGCATCTTGACCCAGAGGACTGGTCCTCTCCGTCAGGGAGAACCAGGGCGAGGGGGCGAGGGGCGTCAGGGCGAGGGGCCACCCAAGTCAAAAGGGCACGGTGATACCCGTCTGTGCCACTTGGCATCCAAGTGAAGGCTGCTGAGGCAGCTGTCAGTTTGCCCAATAGGCGAAGAAAAGGGTGGAGGGCAACCGTCTGCCCCCTCGGAAGGGGGAGAGGTTGTGGGGGATGCCGTCCACACGCTGGGGCGACGGACAGGCCCTCATAGTGACTGCATCCAGAGCCACACTAATGAAGGTTATGCTCTGAGAAGGGCTCAGGTAGCTCTTCTCCATGTTCACCTTGAGGCCCAACCGGGCCACGTGAGAGAAGGTGAGCAGTGTCCTGTGCCGCCTGAAGCCTGGATGGCTTGTATTGTAAGTACGGCAGTATTTTCATGCCCTACGATTGCAGGGGGAAAGAGCAGCAGTAACGCACCTTATCAACACACGTGGGGATAGGGAGAGTTTGAATGGATGCACCCTGGACTGAAAGTGACGGCCTTAAAGGCGAAACAAAGAAACTGCCTATGGTGATGCACAACGGGAACATGGGAATAGGCATCGACAGGTCAACAGACGTGAACCACTCTCCCTTGGAAACAGCACGAAGGGCGTCTGTTGAATTCAAAATGTGAAACACCTTCAGAAACTTGTTGTCCCCTTAGATCTAGGGCTGGGTGCAGTCCACTGCCTTTCCTATTTACAAGAAAGTAAGTTGAGTAGAACCCCCCGGCTCTCGTGACAGGGGGTCATCCATCTCGATTGCGCTCTTGGCCAGGAGCACCGCTAACTCCTGGCTCAGGGTTAGGGATTTTTCCGGATTGGTGATGCTGGTCATTTTGACCGGGCTGAAGGCTGGGGGGCCGGCATCGGAATTGAAGTTTATACCCCGGGGTTAGGGTGGACACCGCCCAAGGGTCCGAAGCATGAGCTGCCCAGTAGCTGATCTGCTGCTGGGAGAAAAAAAACGACAGCCGGCCCAGAGACATCATCTCCTGGCCCTCCTGCCTCTGGAGGCTTGGGGGACGCTGAGGCCCATGGCGGCTACTGGGGTGAGCTGAGGGCTGAAAACGGCCTCGGGGGGGCCGAAGTGGGACCCCTAGGTCTGCGGGGTGTGGGCATGTCCCTGCGAAGACCAGAGAACTGCCAAATTTTGCCGCATCATGCATGGCTGCCAGGGTTCGGCCACCCGATGTAAGACGGAACAGAGTCCTGGTATGTCCCCAGCATCCATGCAACTCCCTCAGATATTCTTCGGAGGGAGGAACAGAAAAGGTGGTGGGGGCAGGAATGTGCCTGAAGAAGGCACTCATAGGCGGAGGTTCTGGTTGCTGTGTATCCCACTGCAGGCATGCAGCGCCATGCGAATGACCAGGGTAGGTTGGGCTTCAGCTGCCCTGACAGGGGGAGGTCGACCTCACCCGTCAGGTGTTCCACCTAGGCCAGCCTAGCAGGCCTCACGGCTCGAGGCATGATGCCGCAGTTCATGCATGGGCTCTCCGAAAGGTCCTCTCTCAGATGCTCGAGGCCAAGGCAAGCGGGGCAGAGGTCATGGCCGTCTTCAGGCTGAAGAGGAGCCATACAGGTCCTACAGCCGGGAGAGTTAAACATGGTTGCGATTCTGTAGGAACCCATGTCCCACTAGTTGGTGCGGGCTGCTAATTCAGTCTGAGTGGGAGCACTCTGCTGAATGTTGAGAGAACAGGCAGGGGACAGTCAGTGAGAGGGGAGTGAGGACAATCTCTTCACTAGGACAGTCGCTGTAGTTATTGGTGTCCCATCAGTTAGCCTGAGCGAGAGCACTCTGCCACTGTGGAAACAGGCAAAAAACAGTCCCTACAGTGAGAGGGGAGCGAGGACACTCTTCACTAGGACAGTTGCTGTAACTATTGGTGTCCCACCAGTTAGCCTGAGCGAGGACACTGCTAACTGTGAAATCCGTCAGGTGTAAAAATCAAAATCAATAGACACAATGTCGATCTAGTCGATCTAGCCGCAAGTCCGACCGGTGGTCACAAGGCTACAGTGACAAGCTCCAATATATCTTGTCGTAGACACATTTTTGTTTCAGCTTATGCTACCATGGTAGCTAGCCTGCATAGCGAGAAGATGAAA